CAGGTCAGGAAGTGCAAGGGAAAGGAAGAAGAAGGCAGGTGTACCGGAGGAGGAGCCTCGCCGCAATAACAGCAGCAGGAAAGCAAGTCGAGGAGGGCCATGGGCCAATCTTGAGGGGAGCGGTGGCAAGCCTGGAGCCGTCTCCAGCAGAATGAGGCTAATAAGCTGGAATTGTAGAGGGTTTGGCCAGACCTCTACAATGATTTTCTGCAAGAACCTCTGTCGCAGATTTCGGCCATCAATCTTGTTCTTGATGGAGACTAAACAAGAAGCAAGTTTCATGGAGGAAAGAAGAAGAAGATTGAAACTTTCAAAAACGGAGTATTTTAGCCCTAGTCAAGGCGGTAGTGGGTTAGCTTTGTGGTGGAATGAGGATGTATCAGTCAGGGTGATTGATAGTTCCAGATTCTACATTGGCGTTTGTATTAGTTGGGGAAGCAGTGAGTGTTATTGAACTTTTGTTCATGATCCCACCACGGCGGTGGAGAGAAGGTTGTTTTGGGATCGCCTCACAACCTTGTGGGAAAGGGGGGACGAGGATTGGCTCCTCGTAGGAGATTTCAATGTTGTCTTGTCCGATTTTGAAAAACAGGGGAGATGCCCCATCAGAAATGAGAATCGAGCCCCGTTTAAGTATTTTGTGGATCAGAAAGGCTTAATTGACTTGGGATTTAATGCTCCAGTTTTTACATGGAAAAACATGCAACAAGGTAATGAAGGGATTAGAGAGAGGCTTGATTGCGCCCTCTGCTCTTCAACATGGAGATTGAGGTTTGAACGGGCCAAAGTCTTTCATGAGATTTTTGTAGAATCTGATCATTGCCCCATTAGAGTTGATTTCGATTCCGTGGAAGAGAAGAAAGACATCCCTTTTCTCTTTGATAAAAGGTGGAGGTTTGAAGAGGAATGCATTAAGATTGTGTCGGATATTTGGACGGAAGAAGAAGATGTGATGAGCGCTTTACAAAAATGTAAGATGCGGCTGGCGAGATGGGTACAGAATGACAGAAAGAAAAAGATTAAGAGGGAGGAAGAGATCAAAAAAAGATTGAACCAAATTCAGGAGGAGCCAGACTGCAGCTCCCTATTGGACGAGGAGCGTCAGCTTATGAATGAATTGTGTTTAGTTTGGGAAAAGGAAGAGGAATTTTGGCTACAACTCTCGAGAGTGAACTGGCTACAGGGGGGATCAGAACTTGTCCTTTTTCCATGCTGCTTGCATCCAAAGAAAGAGATCCAATCGGATAAATAGATTAAAGAATGATCAGGGGGAATGGATTGATGATCAGCAAGCTCTCAAAGAGATGGCTACTGTTTTTTATCGAAACCTTTTTAAAGCCAGAGAAGCTGATTCTCTCCGTTTTGATATGGAGGGATTCCCTAAAGTGGTTACAGACGAGATGAAATCTGATCTGGGTAAAGAGCTGGAAAATGATGAGATAAAATGCGGTTTTTTCTTTGGGAGCATCAAAAGCGCCCGACCCTGATGGGTTCCCTTGTCACTTTTTTAGAAGGTTCTTTAATGTTTGTGAGACGAAATTCTGTGAGGAGATTCGGGCTTTCTTCAGAAATGCCAGTATTGCACCAGAGTGGAATGACACCTTCATTACTATTATCCCAAAGGTTGATGGACCTGAAAGTCTTGGTCAGTTCAGACCTATCAGCTTCTGTAACTTCAGGTATAAGGTGATTACGAAGATTATGGCAACAAGACTTCAGGTTTGGCTGCCTAATCTGATTTTCGAGATGCAGTCAGCTTTCACAGGGGGAAGGTAGATACAGGATAATATTGTGATCGTTCATGAGGTGCTTGACTCGCTATGACACAACTCCTAACAATGGCCAAGTGTAACCAATGAAAGGGACTGCAGTATAGTGGCTCAAGTAATAAATATCGAATCCATGGGTCTCTAGAGTTACTATTACTCAGCTTCAGTTCATTATCTAGCAAACCAGATTAAGATGAAACAACTAAAACTACTATAGCAAACTACAGTTAAAGTTAATCTAATTACAGGTTGGGAACTCACTTAGGTATGATTCCCCCTAGCCACTAGCCAGATTAATGATTGATGATCTCTAACCTGTTTGACTTTCATTCACAATGCGGAGAATCCTTAACTAGACCTTGAGTCTCGACTAAAGGAACAAGGTCCTCTTGAGTCAATTGCCTAGAGGGACATATCCTTATCTAGAACAACCGATCAAGGCGTTCTGAACTAACTCCCTCTATCGAAAGAGGTTCTCAATCGATACAAAGCAGTGAATCAACCATCGACTAAAGCAATCGATCCACTACTATCAATCTATGGTGCTCTATTGACCTAATCATGTATTCGCTCTCATAGGATCAAAGCAGAATCAATAATCTCGACTAAAGCAGAATTGAATTGTGAAATCATGCATAGATTGAATATGAAATCAAGATTATCACAGAGTACTCATACAATCATCCAATCAAACAAACATAGTTAGGGTTCCTCAAAACCTAAGTGAAGGGAAGTTACTCCATAGAGAAGAGAGAGACTGCAGTAAGAATCTTCAGATGATCAGTCTTCAAGTCCGGGCTTGTTTCTCGAGCTTCCAAGGCGAAGAAATCCTCCAATTCCACTCTTAGAATGCCCTCAAATCGCCCTATCTTTCTTTGGTTCGTCCCTTGGGTGTTTGGGATCCAAAACCCAGCTCTCCCTTGCAAAAACGCACAAAACAGGCTTTTAACAGCCTACGTTCGTGATCCCGGTCAGAATCCCCTGTCAGGTATTTTAGGTCACGGCCGGGGATTTTCAAAACGCAACGTCTGGAGAACTTTTGATGTTCCAACGTCTGGAGAACTTTCAAAAAAGGAAATGTTCCACTTTCTGATTGAGAAAATGGAAAAGAAGGGGGAAGGATGGCAGAGTCTCTTACTTTCACTAGGGGGAAAATAGGTCTTACTCAAAGCGATGTTTCAGACAATCCCCTCTTACCTGATGACAGTTTTCCTTTTCCCAAAGTCTACTACAAACAGAATGGATGGAACGCTTAGAAGATTTTTTTGGTCAGGATCAACGATTAAAAAAACCATCCATTGGAGGGCGAGCAATGTGCTTTACGCCCCTAAAGAGGAAGGAGGCCTAGGATTCCGTCCATTCGCGGTTGTTAATCTTGCTCTCCTCACGAAACAAGCTTGGCGGATAATTGAGTCTCCAGATGCTCTCTAGGTTAAACTACTGAAAGGTTTGTATTTCCCAAGGGGGGATTTTCTGAAGGCAAAAAAGGAAGCAGAGCATCATGGATTTGGGGAAGCCTATGGGAAGTAGGTCAATGGTTAAGGTGATTGGAAATGAAAAAGATACAGACATTTTTTACGGATCCTTGGATCCCTTCGATCCCGGGATTCTGCATTCAAAGTACGAACCAAGAGGGACGAAAAGTGGAAGAGCTCATTAACCAGGATGAGAGATCATGGTGTGTTTCAGGGATGGAGGGAGTGGTTTCAAATGAGATAAAAAAATGCAATGGGAAAGATTCCTATCGGATCCCGGGATATGGAAGATTTCTGGGCTTGGAGATTCACGAATAATGGGGAATTCTCTATAAGCTCGGCGTTCCATGCTTTTCATGATCATATCCGGTTTAGAAGCTCAGGATCTTCAGGGATCTCACAAGCCGAAAATGATAAGTGGAAATGGCTCTGGAGTTTATCTCTCCCACCTAAGATCACCTTCTTTATCTGGAAGGCTTTGAGAGATGCCCTAACGACCAAGAAGAACCTGTTCACTAGGCATTGTGTAAGATCAAAAGCCTGTCCGCTGTGTGATCATGTGGAGGAGTCCATCTTTCATGTCATGTTTGAATGCCCTCATGCAAAGGAGACCTGGCGACGGTTTGCCCCTTATCTTCCCCTCCCTCCACCATCTGCCAAAGTTAACTACTGGTTGTGGGATATTGGAGAAGCGTATCCACGAGAAAGATCTCAAACAGTTATATTTCGCCTCTGGCATATCTGGAAAGCGTGTAATGAGATGATATTCAGAAGCCACTCTCCTTGGCCCTCACAGACCATCTCCCAGGCTATAAATGATTGTCTTTTATGGAAAAACTGCCCAAGGAAACGAAAAGATAGCCCTGCTTTGTCTAGTCGACCTACTCCACCTCCTTCTCATCCCCCACCACCGCCAAGAATTCCTTACAGGGAAATTCACTGTGATGGACCGTTCTTCAACGATTCCCGAGAGGCGGCATATGGGATTGTTGTCACTAATTCCCATGGTGAGGTGTGCGAAGGAAAGGCCGACTCCCTCTTATGCGATTATACTTTGGAAGCGGAAGCAGTAGCAATTCATGAACGATGTTTGTTTGCGCTGATTAACCCTTCCCTGTTCGTGATCAAATCTGATAGCAAGGTGATGGTGGATGCGATTGTTGGACCAAAACATAGATGGCCATGGATTGTTGCAGCGCGGATTGACAGAATTCGTGCTGCACTTTGTAGCCTTCATGACGTTCGGGTTGAGTTCGTTAGACGTGAGCAGAATGCATTGGCAGACTGGGTTGCTCGGTCTCGGGCAAAGAACCAGCTTCCATTGGATTGGATTTCTGTCCTGAATGTATTACTACCTCTTCTGTAACCATTGTTGGAATATTGGGTAATGCAGAGACTATTTGTAAAAAAAAAAAAAAGAGTACTTTCGTCCCTAGCTACTAGCGGTTTAAGTGTGATCAAATGGTTATCGAAAGCTGAAATGGATGGGATTTCGATGGTTGATAACTTGATATCCCCTTTTTTCTTAAGCTGTTGGGTAGCAGATTCCACCAATTCCCCACAAGTTCAAGTGATTCATTCAATTCTTTAAACTAGGTGCGTTCCCGTATTTCCAACTGCGACAACCATCGGACCGGAACATACCAGATTTCTTTTCTTTTCTTTTCTTTTCGAGATATCAGGTTTGGAGCCACTGCCGACTGAAATTAGAAAATGATAATTGTTTTTTCGTCAAATGAAAAACAAAAAAGAGCCGAGCGGCGGAACGGGATTGGGATGGGTGAAGGAGAATGGACGATGCACGAGTTGCCCGGCTAACGACGTGGGATGAGAAAGCAACTGGAAAGATGACACGTGACGACGATATGGGCGTTTTGGTAAACAAACATTCTGCCATGGCCGCGCTTCTTAGTCTGTACTCTGTCCCAATATCTTCACTCACTTCCATCATTTCCAGTGCAGAGAACAAGGCACTAAAACGTAAAAACTCGATTAGTGCGACGAAACGAGAGAGAAAGAGAAGATGCCGAGCAGCAGGTTTACAGGGTCTGTAACTACGCCGACCGTGGCTTTGTCAATCGACACCGGCAGCCCCTTGCTCGATCACACCCTCGATGGTTTCTTGAAGATCGCCGGCGTATTTCTCTTCATACCCATTCCCTTATATGTGTCCCATTGAAACCCAAAGAGATGAATTTTGCAAGATTTTTTTTTTGCAGGTAGCAGCGACCAGATCACTTGGAGAGGATGCCTATCATGCCGCCAGAAAAGGTCCCCAATTACCCCTCCACATTTTTTGATAATTAATAAGATCGAAATTCCCTTTTTCTTCTCTGATTTATTTGCACCTTGCCTGCTCGTTTTCTCATAACAGGAAAGCTATCAGGCAGTGACCTTGAGAAATCGGTGAGCCATATTGCATTGATATAACTTTTCTCCCCAGCCCTGGGGTTTATCTCTCTGTCTATGTTTATGGGTTTCGATCTGAAAATCTTTTTCGGTTTTCTGGGCAGCTGAAGAAGATGTGCAAGGAAGGTGCTTACTGGGGTAAGCAATGAATTCTTGAATCGCCATCTGTCTTCGCTGGGATCAATGTTCCTGCCACTTAATGCCATGGGTTGTGTATTTTATATGAGAATGCAGGGACAGTTGCTGGAGTTTACGTGGGGATGGAATATGGGGTGGAGAGGGTCCGAGGAAGAAGAGACTGGGTATTCACTCACTCACTCATCTATCCTTTTTTGACCACTTGCTCGCCTCTAATTACAATGGTGGACAACTAAGTTACATTTTCTGTTTCACATATGGTTGTTGCAGAAGAACGCAATGCTTGGAGGGATGGCGACAGGGGCGCTGATGTCTGCCGCCACAAACAAGGGCACAGACAAGGTTGTCACAGATGCCATAACTGGAGGCGCCATTGCCACTGCTGCCAAGTTCCTCAACTATCTGGTCTAACCTGGGATCAAGTAGCAAGTTTGCTGCAGAAAACATAATGATTCATTAGAAGCCATTAGAGTTTTATTATGCATGTTATGTTGTGTTGCTGCTTTAATTGTGCGAATCAATGTATGTCAAGCTTTTCAAGTGGACCAAGAGTGCCAGAGGAGCCTTTCCTGTGTGTTCTTTGCGTCTGCTTCCAGCAAAAAATGTATCAGAACTTTTGCCTTGCCAAATTACTAGTTTTCCCAGTAATCATTGATCCAACTTCTTATCATGATATGTGGTATCAAGGATTGTTTCCCTCAGTTTGAAACCAATTCCCACCGTGCATTGTCCGAATTCGCTTACAATCCATCATCTTGTACTTTCCGGAGCAGATGCAGCAGGGCCCTGCAGCCAACTAATTTGTCGATTGATTGGGTCGAAGAACAGCCGTCCACCTGTGTTATCCGTAGTTTTCTGGAAGGACCGCTTGTCTTCTTCTCCATTGGAACGGAACTTCTTCATGTTATTAACCACAGAACAGTTCGTCGCATATAGCAGCCAACACTCAATAATTTAAGGCAAGACGAGACAACTTTTTTTTTTTTTGTTTTTTTCATTGCCTTTCTCAACATCCTCTTTTCTTTCTTTCTTTCCCTATTGTGCTTTTATCTATTCAAAGACACGATTCTCAACTACGTCTTAATTAACCCGTAAATATCCCGACTTAAAATTACAAGAGAGCTGGGAGCTAAGATTCCCGAGGATTTTATAAATTTATATATAAGGCGCAACGAAAAAGTAAAATATTGATTTGCCTTTACTATTGATAATCATGTTGGGCAATCAATGAAAGTAGTTCAGAGTTAGAGGATCACAGTTTTTCCATGAGATGAGAGGCTTAGCATTAGTGGGACGGGATCACACTCTGTAGAAGTCCCGTCTTTCCTTCATTCTTTTCCTCCTCTGTTTTATCCCTTTTCCTGGTATCAGATGCCCAATCGACGGTGACACTGTGAGCAATAATCAAGTGGAGCAGTGGTGTTTGCCGTTTTGTCAACGATCTTATCCTACTTTACCAGTTCCAATTAAATTAATAATGGATCAATTACGTTACGGAGTCGGAAATAATAAAGCAAGAGCAGGAAAACATAACACACCCGTATTATAGTATCTGCTCGGCGAAATGAAATCCAACAAGGCATTCAAGTTAAAAGAGACACACAAACAAGTAGAAACAGAAACCCAGCCACAGCCACAGCCACAGCAGCAGTAGCAAATTAAGAAAACCCTAACAAAAGGAGTTCCCCTAGCTTGTTGTATCCTTCCGGAAGCAAACCCCCTGCACTGCAGTGGCTGTTTCTTTATTTACATCAGTGCCCAGGCCAAGCACTATGACACCGACCACAACACAACAACTTTCTAGTCTTGGTTTTTTTAAGGATTCTTATTATTACAGAAACCATACATAGAACCGAGCGAGATTCAGAGGGGGGTTTGTTCATTTGCAGCCGCAGTTGTCGCAGGTGCAGTTTGATCCGCACTTGCAGCCGTTCTCCGCACCGAAGCTCATCTCCGAGCCCTCAAATCCCCTGCGCAGTCGAATAAATTCGGACCCAATTCAATATTGCTTTGATTAACTCAGAAAATAATAAGGTTCAAAGGATCACAGAGGAATTGGTAACTTACATGCTGGCCGGGGCAACGCCGGCGATGAGGATCTGGGTGGAAGTGGCGGAGGTCTCGACGAGATCGGGGTACATGCTGCAGCCGTTGCAGCCGCTGCCGCACTTGCAGCTTGAGCCGCACCCACACTTTCCTCCGCAACAAGACATGGTTTCTGTTGGATTGATTTGAGAGTTTAGAGAAGAAGAAAGCAAGAGAGTATGGTATCGATTGCTCTGTTTTGTGGATGATTTTCAACGTTCTGCCCGGACCTGTATTTATAATCGAGAGAGGGCTGATTGGAGCCGTCCATCCACCGTACACGTGGCCGAATCTTAGACGGAAAGCGTCATTGCTCACTCCACCACTCTCCTATTTATTTACTCACTTTCTTGACCCCGTAGGTAAAAACCTCGCAACCTGCAAGTAATTAATCGACGAAAATGACGTCGCCATCTTTGCCGTCCTGATTTATCTATGCAAATGAAATGCATAATTATTGCCTATCGCCATCCTTCTCCAGTCTTTCACCTTATTATTATCTGCAGTAGAACAGAAGCGCCAAGATCAAATAATTGAATAAATTACAGAGATAGCTCTATACTAGCTTACTAGGATCTGCACCTTTGGTCAGACGAATTTTGTCGATGAATATGATATATAATAATAGATATAATAAATGATTTGAAATGCATAATTGTTTTCTATCTTTGTTATTCACATAACATTTTTGAAAGTGATTCAACTATGCATAATATGTTTAGACCTCCATGAAAAGAGAAAAAATATATTATAAGCATTACATATAATTATTGAATAAAAGAATATAACTAATTTTCATTCATTACTTAAGTAAACCATATAATTGAATATTAGAGTTGCTTCTCATAATCCATACATAATCAACCTTTAGGATGAAAGAAAATATCTCATAAAGTTTAGTATGTCCTTTAAGTTTTTTTCCAATAGAGAGTATTCTTTTTTACCATACTGTTGGTAATAAATTTGAAGTTGCTTGATTTGAAATATATATGACATGATGCTAAGTTGTCGCTAATAGTTAGTTGGACAATGTGTTGTGTATGGACTTCCCAAATTATTCTCAGATCACAGACATGTCAAGTAACAATGTAGTAATTTTCATGTAGCAAATATTTTTTTCATGAAATAATTCAATAAATAAAAACGTATAAAAATAAGATCACATGAAATATATGTTACTCATTTAGTTGATGAATGAGCGAGGGTATGAGTAGCATACATTTATTTTAAAAAGATAAAAGTTGTAAAGTGTTTTTTGGGTTGAATGAGATAGCATATTCTCATTATCGCTAACCGACTTATGTTTTTTTACAATAGATAGTTCAAAATAGGGCTAATACCATTGGGAAACCCGAACTATTAACTTTGTGTCATTTGTGTCCTAAAGTATTCGATTTGACAATTGTGTCACAATGTATGATAGTTGTGTGTCATTTATGTCATGACGATTTCGTTGACCGTTATAGATAACGGTTGACCAAACGGAAGTCAACATTAACATTGACTTTTGATTACGTGGCATCCACGTAGACGCCACGTCAATGACACCTCATATTATTAAATAAAAATTAATATATTATTATAAAAATTAAAAAAATATAAACTCAATTAATTGATATTATTTCTAAAAATTAAAATAAAAAACAAGTAAGGGAAAACTCCCCACCACCGCATCCTACTCCCTCTGCTCTTCAGATAAGATTCGTACGACTTTCGTCATTAACAGGGAAGATATATCCAGGTTGAAAGCGATGGTGAATCGGGACAATCTTGAAGAGGGCAAACAACTTTCGGCGGCGGCGGCATTTGCGGTGGCGAGCGCTTTGATATGCACCAGTTTGACGAAATCCCTAGATCTCGAAGAAAAAGCAGGGGACGACGACGGCGACCAGATGCCGGCGTCGGAAGAAGACGAATCTGAAATCGAGAAGAAGACGAATCGATCCCCAACGCGTTAACTCGATTCCGTCGTCATTGAGGGTTCTGATCAGGAATCCATCGATGTTGGCGAGGAAGGCACAAAATCGATGCAGGAAGTTCAGCTCCGTAATCGCGACGCTGGACAGCAGATGGTCGGCGAAGCGAATGGAATTCGCGGCGGGAGTAGTCGTAGAAGCTCTGAAGCAGGGGAAGGCCTTGAACGGGGAAGGGATGAGTCGGCAGCAGGTGAGGGACGCAGCTCGAATGCACGCCGCAGATACAACGTCGCCATCGGAAATTGTTTGCCCTCTTCAAGATTAGGGATTGCGAGGCGTGATTTTTGTGGCGAGCGCTCGGATGCAATCCCTAACTTTGCAATCTTGCCCTCTTCAATCCCTAACTTTGGTGGCGAGTGCTCGGATGCACGCCGCAGATACAACGTCGCCATCGGAATCGGGACAATCTGCAGAGTTAGGGATTGCGAGGCGTGATTTTTGTTTTGTTTGGTTTCGGAAGGGGTTTTCCGTTCACCTGGGTTTTTCAATCCTTAAGAAGGAAGAGGAAGAAGAAGGAGAAGAGGAAGGGATTGCCAACCGCAAATCAAATCAAATCTGTTTTTGTTTTTTATTTTTTTATTTTATTTTTTTTTATATGAAAAATAATTGTAAATTAATATTATAAATTCCACATCAGATTCCACATCAGCGCTTACTGGTTTTTCTGTTAAAAACTAACGGTCAACGCCGGTCAACTCTAACGGAGAAATAGTTTAGGACACAATTGTCATATCAAAAACTTTAGGACACAAATGACACAAAGTTAATAGTTCGGGTTTCCTAGTGGTATTAGCCCTTCAAAATATGCCTTTAAACTTTTGTTTCCACCAGTGTAAAAGAATTGTTTGAACCAAAGGATTGTAAAATCGTATCGAAAAAGTTGGTAGTAAAATATTTTATACTTAAGTCATAATTTAACTGTCGCTCAACTGTTCCATATTGTTAAATATTAGCTATCTATTAGCTTATGATGTGAAGTTTTATGGTCTAACCGCCGATATGTACGATCTTTCAATACAAACTTTAAATAAAAACCACTAAAATATTGACATTATCAAATACCTCTTAAATCTCATAAATTACAATAATCGTATAAAGGAAAAAATCTTCCAAATGATAATATGGATTTAGGATTTTAAATTAAAATGAAAAAAATATGTCAAATATAATCGCATCTCCTAAAATAAATCAAAACTCAATAGAATAGGGCCAAGAATATTCACTAATCAAAATAGAAGTGCAATTATTTCACACTACCACATTTTCCTCCTCTCTCTTTGCCTTCCTTTTTGTTTTTTCATTTGTCCTTCCATCTCTCTCTCTCTCTCAGCTTTGTATTTCACAACTCTCCCCCTTTTCTCTTTCTTTTTCTTCCCACCGCCTAGAATCGAGAGCAGCCTAGAAACATCCCAATTATTTTTCCAATTTTGCATTCAAAATGCTTCTCATCCATTCACAGTCTATAGTGTGAATCAGAGCACCTGAAACCTGGCGAATAGATGGTCGCCTATTCATCGACGGAGCAAAATAGTTTGATAGATTCTGAATAAACTAATTATTAAAAATGATAAAAAGCATAACTCGTTAAACAAATTGAGTGATGTATATAGTTAGTTCATCGCTTAAAGCCTTAAATCATTATATTTATTTAAAGAATAAAAAATGCATAACCAGGTTCATCTTCACTTTACATGTATTTGTCGTACAAATTCATTACACATAAAAAATGATTTTGAACCGACACCATATCAAACTAAATCTCATCTGATAATTATTGGATCCATGTCAGATTAGCAAAAGGTCTAAGGCTATTGGTCAACCGGGCTGAAAATTAATACTAATTTAAGAATTATATATCGCTTCCAAAATGTTCAATACTCCAATTTAATATGCAATATTCAATATTCAAACAAATGATATATGAGTTTCAACCCTTCCTCAAATTTTTTAGACAAAAAAATCCCCCCCCCCCCCCCACACACGTTTGCCAAGAAATACTAAATCTCAATTTCTCCTTCACTTTACTTGCTTCTAAAGTTATTGTTGACGTTGTTTGTTATTACTGCAAGATATAAAAAAGACTTTTCAGCTATGAAGTTAATATAGAATGATTTTACAAATGAATTTTTAGTTGTATACATTGTAAAAAGTTTGAGTCTCAAAATAAACAATGAATGTATTTTACAAACTTTTTAGAATATGAGTCCTCACACGTTGATGTGAGAAACTACTAATTAATTCAAATTTTATATGTTATTTAGAATTTTTTGTTTTATTTTTATTAAATGTCGCATTTCTCCATAACACATAAGTTCACCAATATAGACGGTGTGGTGCTCGCACTTGTGCGCGAACACTTGAAGTTTAAGTCTGGTACGACCCATGAAACATTCATGCTTGTATGTGACCGATCCATATACATTGTCTTCACGGTATGCTCTAACTCTGTCGTGCTAGCTCGACCATGTGCCTAGGTATAGTTATATGCATTATAATAATTAATTTTCTACCTATTCACATTACCAAGATAAAAACAGTCATAAATGCACCCAATATTTGATTTTGACTCCCTAATGAAATACTACATTTGAATAGACTACAATTGATATCACAAATAATAATTATACCTATAAATCATACATAAAATATTTCAATCATCACAAATATCAAGATTAAATTAATTACTATAAAGATAAAAATTGTATAATGAGGTTAATTATAGGTGATTTATATGTTAATGCCCTATAAAGTGATCAACACATTCGATCCAAAACTGACGAAATGAACATCACATTAAAATCGATATCGTCTCATTATTGTCGGGTCCATTCATGCCCGATTAGCAAGAGTTTAACGTTTAGCAGTTAACCAGACTAAAATTTTAGAGAACCAGTCACCTATAGTTTGTACAAAATATTATTGTTTCGTATTAGTTCTGAAAATTCATATTAATTTAAAGAATTCTACATCTCTTTTGCATATTCAATATTGCAGTTCGATATGCAATATTTCAAGCAATGAAGTTTGTGTTGCAATTTTAAGATTAGCCATCATTTTATAGGTTATAAAAATTATAAATCACATATTAAACTTTGCTTTTCAGAAGATTTAATAGGCTAGCAACCGTGAAAAATCATCTGCTTTTCAAATCTTCGCTTAGTGCATGCTTACAATTTATGAAGATAAAACAAATTTGTGTAGTGTAATTGGTTGTGATTATTGTTTTTGTTTG